TTACTTTTTTGTACTGCCCAGGACTTGACCAGTTAGAGCGATTGAATCGACCGGTTTACCGGTTAGGCTGGTTAAACCACTTCTAGGTCCATGTCCAGTTAACCATTCCGGTTTGATTTAACAAACACTGGGTGGGACAATAAATGCATGTGATAAAAATGCATGTAATACTTGGTGGTCGTCAGAATAACAAAAATGTTGTATATATTCTCCCGTGGGAGCAAATTGTATCCCTCAAGATAACGACCTATTAAGTTTTTTTTTTTTTTTATTAGAAAGTCTAACCATCTTCTCTAAGAATGTATTCAAGAAATAAAAATGAAATTTAAAATTTTAAAATAGATAAAATATGATATTTATTTGAAGGAACATATACCTGATGGATCATAAAATCTCTCGACTTTTTGATGTAGGGCATTACTGATTTAAATTTTTTTTTTTAAATTTTTTTTAAGACTATCCAAGTTATTGGTCTTCCTAATCAACCTCCAGCCGATGATGAAAAAAGCCTCAATCCTTTTAAAGCGCTCTTGCTCTCTCGGATTCAAAGCAGAGGATCCCTCTCTCTCTCCAGCCCTCTTTCTTTGCCCCAAATCCCTCTCTCTCTCGACTCTATTTCTCTCCCACAAATCCATTTGTCTTTCTCCCCATCTCTACCCCAAATTCAGCGCTCGTATTAAATATTAAATATATAAGTAGTATATATCAAAAAAAAATTATTACATAAATCTATCCATTAAATACTTTAGAAAACATCACACCTACTTATTACGTATCAAAAAATAAATATATTATATAAATTTATTCATTAAATACTTAAACATCATCTTAGTAGGTACAAAAATATACGATTTTTATTTTCTCGTTACAATGATTTAACTATGGTATAAAAAAAAAATGCTTTGTTTTCTCGTTACGATGATTTATGGCCATTCCATAATTAGGGTGATTTTTGTTTTTTCATTACAATGATTTATGTCACTCCATAATTTTGGTTAAAGGTTTATAAATTTTTTTAAGTGAAAAGAGGCTCGTGGGTTTCAGAGCTGGTTTACCCTTTAGAGATAGAAAAGGAGGAAGAAGGAAGAGAAGAAAATAGGGCTGGGCTCATCGCCATTAGGGCGCTCATAGAGAGAAGAAGGAACAAGGAATTTGGGTTTCACATCTCTGTGTTTACGGTTTAGAGAGAGAAAATGAGGAAGGAAGAGAAGAAAGTAGGGCTGGGTTCATTGCATTAGGGTTTATAGAGAGAAGAAGGAAGAAGGAAGAGGTCATCGGCTTCACAAACCCTAATGGAAGAGGCTCTAATTGATTTTTAGAGAGAGACAAGGAAGATGGGATGCTGATTTGGGATAGTTTGAAGAGTTTTTTCTCTCTGATTTGGGATGTTGTTTTGAGAGAAAACCTTAACTATACTGATATGTGAAGAGGCCCTCACTGATTTTTAGAGAGAGAAAAGGAAGAGGGTTTTTCATTTTCTGGAGAAAACAGGTAAGCAGAGCTGTAGGATTAGGTTTGGGGAACTAATCCGTACCTTGCTTCTGTAAGTTTACAGTTTACACTATGTTGTTTATCTTTGTTATCACATTATGAAAAATAAAATATTGATTACTTGGTCCTGTAGTCACACTCTCTGCTTCTCATTCCTCAGTAAAAGACAATGTTTTGAGCTCTAATTTGCGCCATAAACAGTACTTTCATAAAAACAATTATCACAAATAATCACATAAATCTGCATGTATAAGATTTAATGAATTACTTTACAAAATGATTTGCTATAAACAGTATTTCATTTACACAATGATTTTCCATAATGACAACTGAAATCTGCATCTAGTTGTTTAAGTTCAAAAAAAAGGGAAAAAAAAATATTCATGCCTTCAATATGCAACTGTGGCTTTGAAGAAGACAGTGGGCATAAAATTTTCTATTTTAGGTTTTTTTTTAAATAATATTTTTTTTTCAAAAGCATGAAAGTAGCAATGGCTGCAATCTTGCAATTTTTTTTTTCACCTTTTTACCCATTTCAACTCAAGGGAGAAATCTTTGTCTTTCAAAGAGAAAGGTTTGACAGGTTACAAGACCGGTGCGCCGTGACCTCTGAAACAATGGAAAGCCCCCAATTTGATGAAGAAGATATGCATTTTATGGTATTTTTTTTCTTATTTTCTATTTTTGGTATTTTTAATTCATTTTAGTTGGAAATCTCTCTCTCTCTCTCTCTACGGTCTTCTGGTTTAATTTTCTTAAAACTTGTTGTGGTTATCTCTCTTGCTCGGATGAGGAAGAATCTCTCTCTCTCTATCTGCGTAATGCTTATTGACTTCTAGTTGAATATCTCTGAAATTGATTGGATTTCTCTCTCTTGATAGCATGTGAAGAATAAATAGCTAAATACCATTGTCATGTTCTTCTTACTCCTCTTCTGTCTCTGTGCTTATGTGCTTATTTCCTTTGTCTTAATATCTATTAAAATTATGGGTTTCTCTCTCTTAACAGGATGGTGAGGAATACCTTTTCTCTTCACCAAAATTGGGTAAGTATTTATTTTCCTGAACTTCCTTTATTTTTTTATTTGTACTCTTGTCAAATTGGAAGAACTCAGCATAGTTAAATTGAATTGGGTTTTTTTGTGCAGATAAAAGTGAGGCTAGAAAGGGGAAGACTTCGAAGAAATCACGATCTGAATCTGAAGAACACAAGAAACAATTAGAGAGACTGAAAGAAAAGGTGAGTTTTTTGAAGCGTGAATTGCTTAAAATGATCATCTTTGGTTTGTAAAACAATGTACTGTGTGCTTTTGCATAAGCATTCCAAATGAAGTACAAAAATTATACATAATATATGGATGTGGTTGTTGACATTGTGTATGATTAATATTACTAAAACTTAAAGGTACTTCTGAGGAGAATTCAGGAACTTTTACTCACAAGGAAGAATGCAATTTGTGTAAACTTATGGAAAAGAATTGTGTATTTGTATCAATTTTACAGTTTGTCAATTTTTTAATCTTATTTTTGTATTTGATTGTCCTTGTTTTAGTTTTGGCTGTGGTGTCTTATTTTAATCTTCCCTCCAATTTTCCATATATATTTCTTTGTTCTATGATGAATATTTTGATCATGAGAGATTAAAGGCATCTTGGTTGGTTGTGGTATTTACCGAGGCAATTAATTTTTGAACACTAGGAAGTATGATGGCTTTGTGAAGGTTGACTGGAAGTAGGGAGATCTATTTTGCTGGTGTAGTAGGGTGTCTACTCTGTCTATATTGCAAATGGTTACGACTAAGATCTTCTCAACTACTACAACAACAAACTAGTTTAACACCGCTACTTATGGGGGTCTAACGAGCACTCCTAGTTTGCCCCCTAGGAAACTTGACACTAGTAGTAACTTGTAATGATGTCCTCTAGTCTCCTCTTCGCAATTGGTTGCTTGGTATTTGGGCTTTTAGTCTCCTCAAGACTTTCAAACCTATACTTGGTAGTTGGGCACTTTCCACCAACATTAAGATATGGGCGACCCATTTTATATGAGAATATTAAATAGTTATTATACTTCGGATAAAAGAAATGAAATTCTCATCATGCTTTGGTGTTCTTTTTATTCTTATGTATGTTCTTATTTTAGGGATACACAAGATAATTGAGTATGATGAACCATCTGAGAGTTGCTCATTCTAAAATCACATTTATGTTTGTAGTGAATATATATTTGTATTTAATATACCAATTGGAGTTATTTATTAATTCTGTTATATGGTGTTTTTGAAATTGCGATATTTGATTCCTCTGTGTGGCTCATATTGTACTCCTGTCTGATGTTCTGTATTTGAAGATGAGGTTGTTGGACTCATAATTTTTTCACTCAGGACTAGGACTTACGCTATTTAAATAGAGATTTTATTTCCTGATACCCACATATTTGAATTTTTTTTAGTCTTGTTATTGAGATTATTATGCCATTTTCATTTAGCTTGTTCCCACCTGTAGGATCCAGAGTTCTATAAGTTCTTGGCAAGTCATGACAAGGAGCTTTTGAAATTCAGTGATGAAGATGCAGATGGGGATGTGGATGAGACAGTATGTACATTTGTATAAGCTATCATATCTCTCTACTCTTTGCTGTGAATGTTCTATACACCTCGTTTTTGCATTTTATGTGTTCCTTTCCAGGAGGATGCTGAAATTGATGAAGTCAGTCAACGGCCTGGAGCACTTGCAGAAATGGCTGAGAAACCATCTGTCAAGATTATCACAACTGCAATGGTTGATTCTTGGTGTAAAGTTATTCAGGAAGAAAAAGGTATAAGGCCTCTTCGTATGCTCATTCAAGCTTTCAGATCTGCATGCCATTATGGTGATGGCGATGATGACTCTTCCTCAAAGCTTCGCATCATGTCGAGCAGTGTATTCAATAAAATAATGGTGTTTGTTCTAAGTGAGATTGATGGCATTTTCCGATCACTTTTTATACTTCCTAGTTCGGGTGGGAAGAAGGAGACCATTGTAGAATTGATGGCTCAAAAGGCTTGGAAGAGTTATGGATCTTTAGTGAAATCATATCTTGGAAATGCCCTTCATGTACTGAACCAAATGACGGACGGGCAGATGATCTTGTTCACATTTAAGAATCTTAGACATTCAGCCATATTCTTGACAGCATTTCCAAACCTCTTGAGGAAGTATATTAAGGTAATGCAGATTTTGTAGTTAATAGAGCAGACTGGCGGACCAGGATTCGTGTAGCTTAACCCAAATTATTGAGAAAAGGCAATGATGATGATGATGATGATATTTCGTAGTTAACTTTTTGGAATGGAGTAGATAAAGATAAAAATATCTTGATTGCTATTATCTCTTACTTATCTTTTGCTGATGTAGATTTCACAGTTACTATGAGCTAGCATAATTGCTAGAAACATTATATTTTCTTTGGTCAATTTGTTATTCAAATTTTAAACTTCTGAAATTTAACACCATTGAATGTGCCCCGTAGTGATTTGTTTTGCTATGATATTATGTGATATCATGGACGAGGGTTGTCTATCTTGTGCCGTGCTGCCATGCATTGAGAGGAGCTAATATGCATGAGAAATTATCTTTCAAGGAGATAGTCATGGTGATTATTTTGTTTTGTTTTTCATTTTTTTGGGAATTAAATGTGGGGATTCTCACATAGTTGGGGTCTCTTTTCTGCTCACATGAGCTTCTTCATCTGGTCTTTTGTTTCTTTTTCCTTTATTTTCTTCCTTATGTTCTTTTTTCTGTTAAGTTTCTCTGGTTTTTATGCTCATTTCATTTTTAATCTAACCATCCTACGTGACCATTAAAAAATGCAATTGTCTTACTGATTGTCAGAGAGAATGAGTTTTTCGTTCACTTTGTATCTTTAGGTTGCGCTTCATTTTTGGAGCACTGAAGAAGGAGCTCTTTCAGTTGTTTCTTTCCTGTTTCTACGAGATTTATGTATTCGGATTGGTTCAGATTGTATGGAACCATGCTTGAAAGGCATATACAAGGCCTATGTCTTGAATTGCCGATTTGTTAATGCGACAAGATTGCCTCATATTCATTTTCTTGGGAACTGTGTGATTGAGCTTTATGGTTTGGACACATCAAGTGCGTATCAGCATGCCTTTATGTTTATCCGTCAACTGGCGATGATTTTGCGAGATGCGCTCACTGTCAAGACTAAGGTAATCTGTTTTCTCCTTTGATAGGATAAGGCGATGGTAATATTTGGTAAATTTTGCATCAATTTCTGGTAATCTTTGGATAAGAATGTATATGATTCTAGTAACTATTCCCTGTGAGTTACGAGGACTCTCTTGGGTGGACTGAAAGCTAGCTGCCAATCACTATCACTCTTGCATAGGTACAGCTTGCATTGAGCATCATAAGTTGGGATATTATGCGAAGATTCAATAGATTGGACAAAATTTGTCCATTGGGTGATCTATGAACCTTTTATACACATTTGTCATTACTCGCAGGGTAAAACATCATGTAGTTGGGATGTTATGCTACAATTCAATGGACTGTGGAAGATTCGTTATATATATGGGTGATTGCAAACTTTCTATACAGAGATTTGCCTAGACTAGCTATGGAAAACAACTCTGTGTGTGTTTGTGTGTGTGTGTGTGTGTGAGAGAGAGAGAGAGAGAGAGAGAGAGAGAGAGAGAGAGAGCATCAATCTACCAACGTGTATAAGGTTATGAGCATCAAATTCCCTTTGTTTAACAGGAGGCGTTTCGGAAGGTTTATGAGTGGAAGTACATGAATTGCCTTGAACTTTGGACTAGAGCTGTCTCCACATACAAGGCGGAGCATGAATTCGGGCCCTTGGCTTACCCACTGATGCAAATAATATTTGGGGTGGGACGTTTGGTTCCAACTGCTCGATATTTTCCTTTGCGCTTGCAGTGTACTAGAATGCTTAATCGTATTGCAATTGCCACTGGGACTTTTCTTCCTGTTTCATTTCTTCTCTTGGATATGCTGGAATTTAAAGAGCTGAACAGAGCTCCAACTGGAGGTGTTGGAAATGCAGTAGACTTTCGTACCACATTGAAGGCATGTTCATCTCTCTCTCTCTCCCCACACACACATACAAAAAAAAAAAAAAGGAAGAAAGAGTAACTCCCTAGGAAATGACCAAGCCACTGAGGGCTCATGTATTGCAGGTTACCAAACAGATGGTGAAGACACGCCCTTTCCAGGAGGAATGTGTCTTCTCTGTAGTCCAAGAACTCTCTGAGCATTTGGCTCAGTGGAGCTATTCTATGGCCTTCTTTGAATTGGCATTTATTCCTCTCGCTCGTTTGCGATGCTTTAGTAAATCTACCAGGATTGAGAGGTTCCGACGAGAAGTAAAGCAGCTTGTAAAGCAGGTATATATGTGTGTGTGTGAGAGAGAGAGTAAATGCAACTATGAGAGAGAGAGTATCTCAGTGTGGCCTTTCCTTGTCACAGGTGGAATCTAATGTTGAGTTTATAAGTTCTAGACGATCAAATATCAATTTTTTTCCAAACGACCCCGCTGCCATTGGTCCATCTTCTGAGGTTTGGCTGAATGTTTTTGATATTTTTGCTTTTTATTTGTTGAAAAGATGAAGAAACACTTTTTAAGTGTTTGCTTTTTGTGATAGGTTGAGGAGGAGTTTGGAGTGAGCCCTTTGTCTAAATATGTTGACAGTTTGCGGCAAAGAGAACAGCAGCGAAAAGCTTCAATGGTGGGATCCAGGTGGGTTTTACCCCTTCCTCAATTTATGAAAGTAACTGACTTGTGTCCTTTTGCTTCTAATTGTTATTTGAAACTTAGTATGGAGGAAATTAGTCCTAAGATTCAAAAAGCAGAACTTCTTTATTTACCGCACTCTGACTGAATTCAAACTTGTCCTTAAACTACCTATCAGTTATCAATTCCCCACATGTTTGACTTGCTTCACATTTTAGCATCAGTGCAATGAATGTTTGAAACTACCTTATGTAAGGTGGACAATGTGATTGGGTAAGTCAATACCATTTAAAATTTTTCTACTATTTTATTCGTATTGCCACCCGGATCACTTACAAGTGTCCAAGATACAATTTTAACTCAATGAAATAGCTAAAACTTCTCACTTGCATGCCATTAAAAGAAAGTTTGCATTCATAATGTAGAACTGAAAATTACATAAGGAAGCAATAGAAGCAACAGAAACACGAAATATGAAATACTACGTACCTTGCCTCAAGTTACCCCCAAGAACTTCGTACAACCCAAACCGGGTCTCCTTCACCGTTGGCACACAGGATTTTGGTTCAAGAACACACCTCACAATTAGGGAAGCCTAGGTAAAACCCTCAGAGAGCATCACATGCGATTTCCTTAATCAAGGCTCAACACATGAGCATGAGGCAAGGACCTAGGGCTAGGCTTGTGTGGCTTGGGCGTGCCACCCTTTAGGGTTAACTCTTTCCTAAACCCTAATTTGGATGAGTGAAGAAGAGAGAGAAGGCTTGAGTGGGGCATGCCCCCTTTGGTTGCACACAGAGAGAGAGAGAGAGAGAGAGAGAGAGAGAGAGAGATGAAATAGAATCCCCATAGCTAGTATTTATAGACAAGAGGCTAGGTTTCCTAGGGTTAGGGTTTTACCATCATTATGAGGTTTAATCTTAAACTTTGATCTTGGAGACATATGGGGTGAAGAGATTTCAACCATTCATTCCTTAAATCAGCCATCATGATTAAAGGAATGATGTGAAACCTTATCCCTCAGTTTCCATAACTCCATTCCCATCAAATATTTTGTGTAGAGAAAATATTTAATTCATACTATTTAATATCTTACACTTTTCTATCTTGATTCAATTCAAATCTCGACACCTTAATTTTCCATACACTTTAAATCATCACAAGCCTTAGAAGATACATAACACAACAAGGAAAGTTGTGTGGGGTGGGGCACACCACCCATGTGATGTCCATGTGGGCCCCATGCTCCACACAATGGTGGGCCCATTGAACCCCATTGGGCCCTCAATACATTAATATTAATTTTTAGATATTAAAACAAATTTTACAAAATAAATTCAGAAAATTGATTTTTCCTTATATAAAAATCATTCTAAAGAGATCTAAAAATTCATTTTAATTATCTATAAAATAATTAGAACTTATTTAAACATATTGAAGAAGATTTGATGGGAATTGGATACATAGATTTAGGATTATGACAAATATACTGAGGACTCCATCCTCTCTAGAGACTGCATCTCACTGCACATTTTCAAACTGACCCAATAGATCCCATGACCCACAACTCATCGTAGGGTTTCATGATTGGACCATCAAAGTCAGCCAATAAGTGGAGATGATTATTAGACCATGGATTACAGGTTTCTCCATGAGGACGAGTACAGGGCCCATTGCAGCAGTATATTCCATGGGTCCTTCCAATACAATCCAATGTTGCAGGGAGTTATCTTTTTCGCACATGTACACGTTACAACTCTTATTCAATGGCTTCCCGGATGGCTATCTAGTGTGCATACCATGTGATGGTAATGATGAGGATTTAAGCCCTTGTCCTCTCGGGCCATCCATCACACACAGGGGTCAAATCCATGTCCCCTAGTCAACTGTCTCAGGCACATCTCCGACTTCATCTAGGGATAGCCCCACATCGAAACCCTTATCGGTTGTGCTTATATGATGCCCAGGACTATGGGTTTTTGACTTTCACATTGAGTCATTGCCAGTCAAAACTCATGTGAGTCTTAAGACATTATCAATGCCCTACAGTCCAAGCTAGACCATACTCCCACTGGAGCAATGTTCGCAAAATCGAACTAGAACGGTTAACCGGACAATGGGCCTGGAAGCGGTATAATCGGCCTAACCGGTCAACTGGCCGATTCAACCGCTCTAACCAAGCAAGTCCTGTGCGGTCAAAAAAGTGTTGAAAAAAAATAAAAAATACAAAAAGAAAATCTACTAAAATATGAAAAGCATATAAAGAATGATTAAAACAAAACACATTCAAATGAAGTTGAAAATTAATGAAAAAAATGGATTTTAACTCATTTTATATTTTTCAAGGGCTATTTTTAAAAATTTTCAAAAAAGATGGGAAAATTAAAGGTGAGCATTAATGACCAAAACAATTTTTAATCTTGACCATAATGTAAAGAATATTTAAAAAAGCATTACAAATCAAATTCCTCATTTCTGAGAATTTATATACATTTATTTGATTTTTTTTTTTTAAATACCGGTTGATCACCCTAACCGCCCAAAACCGGAACCTGCTGCCGGCCGGTTCCGATCTAACCGGGTGGTTAGCGGTTAGATCGGGTGATTTTGCGAACATTGCATTGGAGTCGATAATTCATTATATATTTTCCATATATGCTCTCATATGGCCTTTAAATGGCCACAGAAACCCAACCATTTTAGCATCAGTGCAATGAATGTTGGAAACTACCTATGGGCACCTGCTGGAGAGAGAGAGAGAGAGAGAGAGAGAGAGAGACAGAGAGGTAGTAGTCTTCTCGAGAGAGAGAGAGAGGTAGTAGTCTTCTCTGGCAATACCAATGCAATAAACCTTTTTTTACTTTATGAGTTGTACTAATGCAATTAATCGTTATCAGGTGCTGACAGCTTTTGTGTTTTCAGTGTTCTTGTAGGTGAGACTGGAGCATCATTTTCTTCCAAAGAGATCACGAAACTGGAGGAGGAAGATAAGGGGATGGGGAAAGAAGAAGGTGCCGCAGTTTTCAGCTCATCATGGTTGCCAGGAGGGAAACCTCAGTAAGATTCTTGGGCCCAATGCTCTGTGTGTGTGTGCGCGTGTGCGCGCAGGGGCGCACTTGCACGCATTTGTGTGATTTTATAAAACAACTGGCATATATGATAACTAAGCCTGTTGGATTTATGTTTCTTTTTTCTGTTCGACCCCAAAAGGTGGATGTATGCTCTAATCGTCCCGGTGATCGAATTAGAAAAAAAAAAGACAAGAAAATAAAAATTCACACTTTGGAAATGGTCGAAATGAGCCTTGCCACGAAGAGTGACACACACTGTCCACTCCATGGATGGTCGATCTAGATCTTTAGGTATTCAAATTATTATTGTTACGTGTTTTTTTTCTTGTTTTTTAAGAATCTCTCATTTGTTGAATCATTTAAGTACAAACTTCTGGGTCAAAAAAATTATTTAGGTGTTTTGACCTTCGAATTACAGTGCAGCTATAAGCTTGTTAGCTTGCAGAATCTTTTCCTCTGTATTTGTGTATGTGTGTGTTTGGCAATGGAGCTATAAAATGACTCATGTTTAAAAAATTATAACCTGAATGACTCGTGCTTTGAGTATTTTACTGAACTACCATTGGTTTTGGAAGCTTGAAGAAAACAGAAAGATGTAGAGCTCTCTACTCCTATCTTAGCGTATGCATGCATGTGCACCATTCAACACACATGAACAATGTGTGTGTGCATGAGAGAGAGAGTGAGACCTGCACACACACTCTTTGAGAGAGCATCGGCCAGAATTACTCAGTTGTCTAATTCCAATAGACAGTTTCCCCTTGTAGAACCTATGCAGTGAATGGAGCCATATTTCTTTCTGTAACAAGTGGCCATCGTCGGGATATACCCCATTTTGATATTTTCCTTTCTTTTTCAGTGATCTAATTTTCTCTCATTTAGTAGTAGGATGATAAACGAAGAAATATGTTTATCCCTCTGACTAATACGAATCTACTAAAAGAAAACCTAATCTTCTATCACGACAGGCGCAAAAGTTCAAAACCCAAACATTTGGAGTATGAACAAGTGCAGAACGCTGATGAGGACTTGGTCTCAGAGTTGGAGCTCTCTTCAGATGATGAAGAAGAAAACACGCCAGAGCTCGAACCACGCTCTGCCTCTGAAGAGCCGGAAGACAAGATGACTCCAAGAACTAAAGGCAAGAAACGAAAACCTGAGTCCCTAATTTCCAAACAAAAATCTCGAAAACCCAATGCCGGTGGGAGGAGGAAGAAGATGAAGAAGAGCGCAAGGTGATTTTTAATGAGCTTTGTGATATTGTAACATGGGTTGTACAATTTTCATGAAAATTTTGTAGTGTTTTGCTTTGTTTTTGCAATTTTGGTGTTTGTTCCTTCTCCCATTTTGATTTTCTTTTTGCTTGATGTCCTTATGGTTTCTCTATCCTTGGCCCTTTGATTTTTTATATATATTGGTTTTAGTGAAACATGGTTTTCACAATTCAAGAAGAAGACTCATTATCAGTTTTAGTGACATATGGTTTTCACAATTCTAATTCTGTTTGTAATATTTTTGGGTGCCTGCGTGCCCTCGCACCGGAAATCTGATTTCTCCGAGGGTCTGGAGCACCAATTTCAATGACCTGGCTGTAACCAGCTATTGTTTCTCTTGAAGTTAGTGGTCGTTATGTAACGGCCATGGTGACAGTAATGTGGTGCTGATGTTAAAGCCTTGCATTTGCCTGTTAACAGTCTTAAGACTCTTTTTAAGTTCAGGATGAATAAGGTAATCTCTCTTATTTAATGGACGGATGAGAGGCAAATTTATATAATGTATAGATGCCAAACATTGATAGAGACAGAACTGGATTCATATAGCCAGACTCTAAATAGCTAGGATAAGGTTGATGAGGATGGATGCCAAATATTTTTACCCAGTATGCTCCCAAGAATTCCCCTTCTAATGACTCTCTCTCTCTCTCTCTTTGCAAAATCTTCTTACCCCCTGTCTCCCTGCAAAAGTTTCTTACCCCCTCTTTGTCTTCCTGCAAAATTTTCTTACCAACTCTCTCTTTCACACCCAGTATGCTCCCTAGATAGAGGTGGCAATGGGCTGGACCTGGCCTAAGCCCGACCCTAGTCCCTGTAGGGTTGGGCCAGTTTAGACTTGGCCCTAGTACCTATTAGTGCCGTGCTAAATAAAATAAAATAAAAAAACAAAACGAAAAACAAATAAAAAGAGGGCTGGGCTGGCCTTAGCCGATCCTAGGCTGGCTGCACTATTGGGCAGTGATTGCTCGCCGTACTCTTGGCCCGTAATTGCCCGGCCCTAGCCCATCTCTCAAGCCACATTACATGGCCCGTGCCTTAGTTTTAGGGCTTGGCCGACCAGGCCAAGCGGTCGGCCCAGGCACCTAGCCCATTGCCACCCTTATCCCGGGTTTCCCCTTCTGATGGCTCTCTCCCCCTCTCTTTCTCTCTCAGCAAAACCTTCTTGCCCACCAAGCTTCCTAGAACTACCTGGTTTGATGATATTCACTCTCTCTTCAATATTATTCATGACCTTTGGGGTAGCTTTTGATTCTCTTTTCGTTTGTCTAAACTATGTTTAAAGTTACTTGGCTTTATTGTTAATTTCCCAAGCTGTATTTGTAATTTGTGGTAGTCCATTTGGTTGATTCACTTTTTTGGTGCTGTGGGTTGGTTGGGTGATTTGTTTTTTTAAGTCTTTCCGTTGGATCTCTCTACAAGGTTTTTTCAAATTGTTAGATGTGAAATTAGGTGACAAGATGTAAAGTTGAGTGGTCAGGAGTACGTCATTAATTGTGCTGCAAGTGCAAATAACATATTCTCAATTTTGTGTGGAGAAAAGGCATACCTCTGATTTCACATCTACAAGGAGGGGGAAGAAATGACTTTGATATATCAAAGATAAATAGTCCTTTGCTATAGGTATCTCAACATGTTTAATTGCAAATTAAAATTGACGATGATGCAAGGTTCCAAGCTCTATAATTAGATTCTAAGAATGACAAAAGCTCTATAATTAGAGTGTAAGGATGACAATGGCCTTGGAGCCTACCTTTGAAATACTAGGGCCTGAGACACAAAATGTGGCCAGACAGTTGGAGGCCTGTGTGCGGGCCAAGGCCATGATAGGGCTAGCCTGGCCTAACTCCAATGTTTTTTATTCTTTTTTTTGTTTGTTTTGTTTAAATCTATTAGGATAGGTAGTATTTTTCCATTCCTTTTTTTGTTTTGTTTTGTTTGAATCTATTAGGATAGGCACTGCCTGGCCTGAACATGCCTTGGCCCCTTTAGCCCGGTGTGGATGGGGCTCTGTCCAGCCTTAGCCCGGCCCATTGTTTGCCCAAGATACTACATAATAGTTTCTTTGGGAATAGGACTTCAGCTTAGTCGTGTTAGTTGTTGGTGATTCCCAATTGATGATTCCCAAGTTCAATTCCTAGAACTGAATTAAAAAAGGAAAGAAGCAAATCATTAATAGACAAAAGATTGACAAATAGAAGAGAGAATGTCGACAAAAGGATAAAAGGTTTTAGAAAAAGGAAAAAGTTTATACAAGGTTGTAACATGTAGAATTAAAGATGCACCTAAAAAATCCATCGGAAAGGATTGTTTTAATGTTGAAAAGCCCTTTAATTAATCATTTCGACATTGAGATATATATATACGAAAAAAAAAGTTTTGGAGTCCCAGAAATATTGCGTCTTGCAACACATTATCTAGACCGTTCATTTTCAAGATTTTTATATGTTTATAGATCTACTTGATTTTGACTATTTTTGAAGTTTAAAATTTTATAATTAGAAATGAAAATAGATTTTGAGATAATCCTAAGAATATTTTATACCAAAATGACATGTTATGATAAAATTTGGAGGTGCACCTTAATTGGATTGTTTAAAGTTGCAACCTTATAGAAACCACACCCTTTAAATCACCCAATAGATTGGGAATAAGTGGGAACCGACTTGGTTCGTAATTGAAATCAAGAATCAAACTGGTTCCCACATATTCATTTGGTTCCCTGAGGACAGGTTTGATAGGGAACCATGCGAGCTAGATCACCTGGTTCTCACGATCTATATTTTTTTTTATGAGAAATTTTGTCAAATTACCATGAGAGATGAACAATTTAACACTTTGCCTGCATTTTTAATTTATTTTCAAAATACACATCAAAACATGGCCTTGTGTTGGAAGTGGACAAAATATAATGCATTCATGGGTATCTAGATAATTTGCCATATTTTATTATGTTTTTATTTTTTATTTTTATTTTTTATTTTTTGTTTTTTTATCGACCGATTCTTTAGGCGAATTCGTTGGATCCTGGGTGCTCGGTTCACCATTGGTTCTAACTCTTAAAACTTTAAACACAAGTAGCACTATTTAAAAGTTTTAACTTTTATAATTACTGATGAAAATATATTTTAAGGTTATCACAAAGATTTTCGGTATTGAAACCATAACGACACGGTTTGAGGGTGCGCTTTAATTTGATTGTTTAGATCCTGGCTCTATTCAAATCGTACCTTTCTCTAATCTACAATTTTTATAATATGTGGTAGAAATAAATTCCAGAGGGTGAGGATTCACTTTTTCTTTATAGGAAAATAGTTTGATAGGGCTGCAACCCTATCAAAATAAGTACTGCATCACGTCATAAATCATCAAAAATTACAATTCAAGCATTGGAAAACCTTTTTATCGATCATCTCAGCTTGAACATATTAGTTGTGAAGACAAAAAGGATTTTAAGCCCTAAAAATCGTGTATATTAACAAATTATCTAGACATTCCATTTCACCATAAAATTAGGTGTTCATAGATCCGCAAGATCTATACCTTTTTTTTAGTTTCAAATTTATTATCGGTATTGGAAATTGATTTAAATCCATCATGCAGATTTTCGTGGCCGAAAGTGCTTTTCAGACAAGGATTTGAGTGGAGGCTTTATTTTGTTTTCATAAAGCCTAAGCCCTATAGAAATTTCATCCTTCTTTGTAAGACATGCCTTTTATATCCGGGATTGTATACTATGAAACCGTTTATCTTTGTTACAAAGGGTTTACAACTACTCTTAATCATTAGATTTCAAATCAGATGGCTTGAATTTTTCACAAAATTCGATAATTTTTTTTTTTAATTTTGAGTCTAGTTAATGGCACTCTTACAACCATCCAATTTGAAATCTGATAGACAATAATAATTGTGACCTCCTTGTATGAAAAGTAAATGGCCTCTTTGTATAAAAACTGCATCATAAGATCAAATTTCGAAGGAAAACTAGCGTAAATTGTTCTTTTTACAGCCCCCAAACCTCTCAATAGCTGTTGATGACGGGTAGCGGTTGCTGAAATGGACAATCAAGATTCAATAACTATTTTGCACCACGTGATCTTGATTGTCAGATGTGCGTCCACCTTCCCTCTCTGCCAACCCAGTGCATCCATGGCGAAGTAGAAAAGCAATCTTTTGCGTTGTGTTTTTGCCCCTCTATAACTAGGGTTTATTTAGCTGGTTTTACCAGATTTTTGTAAATTAGGGTTTTGGAAGCCATAGAAGAGATTCAGAACAAGCAGATGATATTTCGGAACTTCATCACTGGATTGCCCAAAGAGACAGATATGGAATTAAGGACTTTAAAGATTTCGCTGAAAGTTGTAGAGAGTTTCAGAGCATTGATTCTGAAGAATCTGCACCTCTCTTGTGATCCTTATATGAGAGGAAGGATGGAATAATTTATTAAGTCTTACATTCTTCCATTTCAGCCTGGAACTGTAAGGCTTCTATTTCTCTCTTTCTTATTTTTAGCGCATTTTCTCTCTCTACACAGTACTAAACCAGAAACTAAAAACTTGGTACTTCTCTCTACAAAGGAGACCAGAAACTAGACACTATAGACTGGCATGTTGAGGACTCTGTTTGCCTCTTTTCCAATTGATAATGCATTTTCTCTATCAAAAAAGTAAACCAGAATTTAACTAGTTTTTTTTCTCGAAAATTCTTTTTTTTTCTGCTCTAAAATCCCTGTAATCTTTCACCTGAAATTATTTGCTCATTCTCTAAAAACTCGTGAAAAATAATATACATTAAGAGCATTTATCTTTGTACAAGGAAGTCACCTAGAGTCTTGCCCTTTAGATTTCTAATTGGGTGTTTAGGTGCTCAAAATAAATTTCGCAAACTTTATGTTCTCCTGTAGTCATCATGTTTGACATCTTGTACCAAGAGTAAATGATTTTATAATATATATATATATATATATATATATATATATATATACGTAACCTAGTTAGGGTGGCAACAGGTAAGGTCTGAGTCAAATCCGGCTGGACCTGGAGCCGAATACTCTCGACATTTTGGGTAAAAAATTTGAACCCCTACGTCGACCTGAGGTCGGGTCTACCAGTTGGGTCCATTTCCACCTCTAACTCTAATAAATATTTCATCATAAATCCATAAATCCTGAGAGAGTCCTAACAAAATACAAAATATCAAATTTGTCCTAAACTTTAAAACAACCAATTTCTACAAACTAGTGCATTCTTCCACAATTATGGGAAAAGTGAGTCTAAAGGTTGGCATAGTCTCATCTAGCTACCCAAATTGATATATTATAATAGCAATTTCTTAGTCAATTTTGTTTTTAAAAAGTCACAAATGAATTATATAAATAAGGAAAATTTATCTAAAGAGCTATGATAGATAAACTA